TAAAATCTACAAAATAATTTCAAATTTAGTGTATAATGTAGATACTTAAAAATTAGTCTTTATATTAACAGATTCACTAGATTTTTCCCTAATATTCAATTTCATTTAAAATTTCTTCAAAATTTTGGAGATCTAAAATAGACCGCCTATGAACAATAAACTGAGTACCCAATTTACCATGGTCTCAAAAAGGTTAGTTGACCCACTGATAGTCAGCTATGGGTCCCATTACGTTGACTACTAATAAATTTTATTTAATTTCACTAGATTGGACCCATGGACCCGACAAATCCGTAAAAACACGTTCCGTAGGGTTTGGTTTCAAGACGAGTTCATATGGTTATTTTTATTTTTTAGGCTACACTCATTGAATGTTGCACTCGATATTTTTTATCGTTAATCTATTCACATCAATATGGAGGTATTTTATTACATGTACATTTCACTCGATGCAACATGATATACACAAAAGCATGTACGAGTGAGCTTTTTTATTTAAACGTACTTTCGCAAATAACTACCAATGTATTTTACATTTATGCCCTTGATAGTGTGTGTTTAAATATTTTTATATGGCTATTTTAGATATTTCATCTAAATAAAACAAAATTTAATGTTTATTAACAAATACTATTTACAAACAATGAAAACTTATAAATTGATTTTTAAGGAATTTGAAACACCCCCAAATCACCAACTTCTACTTAGACTAGAACATTTAATTTGTAAACACCTTTAGTAATTCGTGTTGGTTTTAATTCGAAATCTTAAACTTGAAGAATTTATTCAATTCATAAACATTTATAAAAAGAAAATGTAGATTAACAAAAAATATTTAGAATAATAATGAGATGTAAATGTTCTAGTAATCTACATTTTGTAACTAAAATGTTGAACTTGATTAATTGTGTTCAATTATTACTAATTTTTTTTCTTTTCCTCACTAGTGGAAAATATTTTTTTACTACGATCATTAACCGTAGCAAAATGTATCAAATTCGTAGTAAAAAGGCTTTTGCTATGCATTTGCTACGGATTTACCCCGTAGCATATACGAGCGTGACAAAAGTTTTGCTACGGTAAATAGCCGTACCAAATATTTTTTTACTATAGTAAATCCTAGTATTTACTACGACTTCAAAATTGTTCCGTAATACAAAGTACATTTTATTACGGTTTTTCACAGTAGCAAACACATTTATAGTAATAAGCAAATTTTCTACCGCTGCATTTTCTTTATCTTTTCATGAATATAATAACCCAATGTATTATAAATTAAAGGGCCAAAAGGGGGAAATTGAGTTCTTATCTGAAAGTTAATAACTAGTGTCGGCTTACAAATGTGTCATGCCCATGCTGCAATGTTCCGGCAGCAGCCTTTTTATTCTTGGGAAAACATACAAACTTCAAACGAGAATCGTCATCGAAAAAGTGCTTTTCAGCTTTCATTACAATAAAAAGTGCTTTTCAATATTCAATTTTCATTACAAGAATATTATATCAAATGTTCTTACTACCGTAAATGCATCGATTCGAGTCAAACTATATTTGTTCAAATTTGTTTGATTTCTTATCGAACTTTAAAAAATGTACGGGTATGAGTTTGGTTTGATAAACAATCTAATCTTACATATTTTTAGCATTTCTTTTATAGAGATTGCGTTCGAGCTGAACTTCATATCTTATCGAAATTAATATGTCTTCAATTTGATTCTTGATGATAATAAATCGAGCCCAACGATCTCAAGTTGAATTTCGTGTAATTAACTATACAGGTACACACAGTAAATTTCATCCTCGTGCAAATGCTTGCAAATCACATGAAAAATATGATATATCAACTTTAGCCATGAGACACTTATGACGAACTCGAATGAGAATGTGTTGAACGAATAAGGGCTAGGGCTAAGGTTGTGTTTGATTGTCGCTTAATGACTTCTGAATGGCAACAATTGATTATTCGGTCAGCACACTCTTATTAAGTTTGTCTGATATAAGCATCTGAATGACGCCATTCAATGTTGACCGACTCATTCCAAAAAATTGAACTTGTTCATTCAACACTAGGCTGAACATATTGTGGACAATTTTATCCCTATAAATTGAGATTTGAGTTATTCAATCACCTTTTCTGTAATTCCTCAATTGTTACTAGAGCAGTAGAGTTCAACTCTTTTTCAATTTAATTTTATAATATTTATTAAGTTTAAAAAATACTCAATTTTGTGCAGGTGTGATGTTTTGATAAAATGGATGAATACGAAGATGTCGTATTATTTATATATGTTTCCTAATGAAATAAAATATTATCTAATTATTTATTGCAAATTTTATGTTTTTCTTATTCACTTATTTTAGTGAAATATCAAGTTCAATTAAAAAATTGTAATGTTATACATGTATATATGTCATAAAAAGAACTATGATATAATAATTATAAAAGCACAAAAAAAATTAGTTGGAAATTATTCATAATTCAGCTGGTAAAATTTGATTGAACAATTTTGAAGGATAATGTAGTAATATCACATCATTCAGATATAAACATGTTTTAATTATTACTAAACAAACTTAATTGTTCAGCATTCAGTATTCAGATACACCCTTAATCATTTAGATGTATATTCAGCATTCAATGTTCAGCGCTTAATTTTATCAAACAGAGCCTAAGTCTGAGCATAGGAGAAAGTGGTAGTAGCCTAGGGCCCTTGATTTCTTTAAATAATATAGGGCCCCAATATTTTTTATACTCTTTATATATTAGTAATAGTGTTAATTGATATTTAAAATTTATTAATAATTCAACAATTTGAATAGTCATAATTATATTATTTGACATAGTTTAAATATTTGGTGGATTCTATGTATACTTGTTCTTAAATTGCTAATTACCTATGTTATTTGACATATAGTTTATATATTTGTTGTAATTTTCATGCTTATTCTTGCATCTCTTTTAATGAAATCTGTTAGATCAATTAATATTAGTTAGATATGGAATTGTTTTATCTAAATTTTATCTATCTCCTCTAACTTCAAGGAATTTCAATAATTTTATTTTAGTTTATTATATTTAAACAAATATTACATATATTTACTTGTTTAATATTATTTCAATGAAAAAAAAATTCGGGGACTCTGCCCCCGAACCCCTATAAACTCTTGGTTCACTTGCTAACTTTATTAATATTCTAGTCATAAATTTCCAATAAAATTCAATACCTAATTAAAGAAAATCTAAAATTCTATTTCAGTTATTCTTGTAAGATCGAAGTAGTATGTACAATTATATAACAGGAACCCCGTTTTTCAATTTTTTTTTAAATTCGCCTAGGGCCCCTAATTCCTCAGAAACGGAGCTGATTAGGGGTTCATGTCAAAAATGAGCTTAGAAGGGGATTTCATACATTACAATGAAAATAGAAGCATTTGATGTAATTTATTAGCTTTATGTTAAAAGATTTTTAATGAAAATTTACGTATGATATCTCTTTAAACCTAAAAGATATTCCACTTAATAATATATAGTGTATAGGGGGACAGGCTTTTAGCAAAGATGTGGTTTAATCGTATGGCATAACAATTTTGGGCATTTGGGGAATAAAACTTTGGCCAATTGCGCCCCGTTTATCGACGACGACATCCAAAAAGAACGTTTGCGCTTCATTGCTCAAGTGCATTGCGTATAAACACGATTCTTGCGTAATTTAAGACGTTTGTTTCTAATGAAGGTAGTTTATAAACGTTTCTCCCTTAGATATGCTTTCGAATTAATTGTTATGACGTCTAATTTAATCATATGTCAGTACATATCTTATTTGAAGTGAAGTTAATGACACATTACTATCAAAATATATATGAACCTATTTATTGAACTCAAAGTGCATTAGACATTTGTGTTCTTTTTATTTTTATCTAATTAAATTTATTTTAAAAGAACATTTGAGATGTTTTCCTAAAACAAGTAATTTGTTTGTTTAGAATTGATTTTTCACTATATTTAATAAATAAGTAAGAAATCCAAACTTTATTGATAATAGCAACTTGTACATTTTCACCAACTTCTCTCGTGCAAATATCATCTAAGTCAAACTTGTTTGGCATGTGATTATTGAGTAACTTATTCAAGAAATATCTACATTATTTCAACCGGTTTTGTCATATTATATTTATAATTCTAATTTGGTTGTTGATCAATAATCGAGATAAGAATATGCAACCCCACACGGGGTATTCTAGAAGTTCGAATCCCCTTATCAACAGTTGCTAATTGAACTCGTCATACATAATAGGTTTAGTGTCATTTACATTTCTCATACAAATAAAATTATACAAGTTTACAATAATTAAATCGTATAGGAGCTTTTTTTAACGAACCAAAATAAAATAAGAGTCGAGTCTTTGATTTTATGTTTTTGACCCGCACCGTATACTAACCAAATAAAATCACACCTAACATAATTTACACAACGCTAAAAAAATAAATTTAACTATTCGATACTAAATCTTAGATTGAACGTTAAAAATCTAACATGAGCTCGGTCGTTGAGATCGCAACTTAACGCATTTTTTGTTTATTCAATGACATATGCATGAAACAAAGTTCAAGCTCGAACCCTAATTGTAAATCTCATTCACGATCGATTCGATTATAATAAACAAAACTCAAAAAAATAAAATTATATTTTTGTGTTTTGATTAAAAAAAAATATATATATATACACTTGGTAATTTACACACACCAATCGAAGGCAGGCTTAATTACAAATGACACGTGTCCCTACCCTACTGTAACCACAGTTTTGTACCGTCTCTGAGTGGTATTCAGTATGTGTCTGCAGTGCAGTAATTAATTAGCAGCATGTATGTTAACTCTTCTCCTCAAGTCAAATCAAACATTTCGCATACTTATCTTCTCTCCTTTCATATTTAACCTAATTATTATTATTAATTCTCTCTCTCTAACTTTCTCTCTCAAAAAACTCTCTCTCTCACTCCAAAATGGCTATAAATAGCGAAGCAGTTGATGAGTCCATTTACGCCTCACCTCATCTCTCATTCATCACCAATAACATTCTCTCCTCACTTTCTCTCTCATCAACCACACACCTTCCTCTCTCTCTCTCTAGAACTACTATTAATCCCATCTTCTTAGCAAACACACCAAAACAGAAAAAAGAAACAGAAACACAAAATGGTGGTTCTCTCAAAACCGGCAATAACCCAACACTTCTCCAAACCCAAGCACACCGCCGCCGCCGCCGCCGCCGCATTGTCGTTCCCCGGTGTGCCGCTAATAGACCTATCAAAACCCGACCCGCAAACCCAGCTAGTCAAAGCCTGCGAGGAATTCGGGTTCTTCAAAGTCACCAACCACGGCGTACCAATTCATTCCATCAGAGAACTCGAAGCACAAGCCGTTAAGTTCTTCTCTCTCCCCAGCTCCGACAAGTCCAAAGCCGGCCCGCCCGACCCGTTTGGCTACGGCGACAAGAAAATCGGACTCAATGGCGACGTCGGCTGGGTCGAATACTTACTCTTCACCACCAACAACCAATCTTCTTACCACAAATTCTCCTCCATTTTCGGCGAAGCCGCCGAAAATTTCCGGTAAATTTACACACACACACACACACAAAAAAAAAAAAAAAATTCCTTGTTTTTATTGGACTGATTTTTTTTTTTTTTTTTTATAGGTGTGTGGTGAATGAATATGTGGCGGCGGTGAAGAAAATGGCGTGTGAGATACTTGAAATGCTGGCGGAGGGGCTGAAGATTCAGCAGAGGGATGCTTTCAGTAAGCTGTTAATGGATGAGCAGAGTGACTCTGTTTTCCGGCTGAATCATTACCCGCCGTGCCCGGAGTTTAAAGAATCCAACGGCAGGAATTTGATCGGGTTCGGGGAGCACACCGACCCGCAAATTATCTCCGTTTTGAGATCCAACAACACTTCCGGCCTCCAAATCTCCCTCAAAGACGGCAACTGGATTTCCGTTCCCGCCGATCAAGATTCCTTCTTCGTTAATGTTGGCGACTCGCTGCAGGTATTAATATTAAATGATACATTTCATTAACATCCGATTGTCCTGTCTAGTAACATTTCAATTTTGAAGTAGGACTTTTTGATTTGCAGTCAACCACGAAGTATAGATAGTAAATTTAAAAAATCTAAAACGAAACCGAAACCGAAACCAACCAGACTAAAATAAAGAAATAGAGTGTTTCGTAGATGGTACGCGTGTTTTAAAAAGACGTGTATGCGCCTACACTACTGCAGTAGAACCTCAATAAAATAATACTTTATAAATTAATAACCTCGTTTAAATAATAATTTTTTCTAGTCCCGACTTGATAAAAACCTACTAAATTATTAGTTCGATGGTTTTGCTAGTCCCGAATTTATTAATTTATAGATTAACTTTGTACTAATTAAATATGTTTTTTTTGTTATTATAAACTTTTTTTCACAACTTTTTGCAATGATGTGAAGTTTCCTAGGTTTGACTTAACAACTATCACGGACCAATATTATGTAGGCCTCCCTCTCTTCAAGCACGCGGTTTTTTGTTCGACTTTAATTTGCAATTCTTTAATTGATTAAATAAATCTTTGGTAGATTCCTCGACAACAAGGTTATCAAATCAAAAATAATACCTCGTGGATAAAACCTAATTGTACCACATACATTGCATGTTGAGTGTTTTATTCCACATCACAATTAAAAAAAATAAAGAAAAAACAAAATCTATTTTGAGTAGTCATTGTGTAAAATTCTCTCTTCTACCTCAATTACTTGTAAATTATACGAGAGATGTAATTAATGATTGCTGGTTGACTTAATTATGTTTAAAATGTGCAGGTAATGACAAATGGGAGGTTTAAGAGTGTAAAGCATAGAGTAGTGACAAACACCTCAAAATCAAGGCTATCAATGATTTACTTTGGAGGGCCACCGTTGAGTGAGAAAATAGCACCATTGCCATCACTAATAAAAGGGGAAGAAGATAGTTTGTACAAGGAGTTTACATGGTTTGAGTACAAGAAATCTGCTTATAAGTCAAGATTGGCTGATAATAGGTTGGGTCTATTTGAGAAAATTGCAGCCTAGCTCATAATTTAATTATAATATATGTTTCATTTCATTAATTATTCAAAGTTTGCATGTATAGTGGGGGTTTTAGTTAGTTTTATTGTAGGTGATTGATTTTTTTTTTTTTTTTCCTTTTACATTTATAGATGGTAAACTTTGTACCTTTTTTTTAATTGTTAAATTCACACATCGTGTAAAACTTTTCTTGTTAATAATACAAGAAATTACATCAAGTGCGTAATTAACAAACTAGTATGAGAGTGTTTTAGGTTGTGTTTGTAAAAGAGTTTAGAAACAGCTTCTGCTTTTTTTTTTTTTTTTTTGGCTCATCAACTGTTTGTAGGTGTTTACAAAATCAATTTTTGCTTTTGATATTTTAAAAGAAAGCTGTGATAAGTTATTTTTTAAAAATCATCTATGGACCTGTTTTTTCCTATTTAAGTTGATTTCCGAGCATATATTTGCAAACACCCTCACTTTACTTACATTTATTAACTTGTGCTTTTGAATAATATTTTGCAAACATCACCTTAAAAAAGTCTATGATATTTAGGGCCCGTTTGACTAAGCTTATTTCAGAGCTGATAAGTTGTTACATCTTATTTTGATATATTTTTTTAAAAATTGTTTGAATAATGTGTTTATTTGCTATTTTTATTCATTATAAGATCTTAAAAAATGTAGGGTAGATGTACTTATTAAAAAAATCTTGTTTCCATTCTAACAACTTATGTTTTTTAAAAGTTAAGATTTTTTTTTTAAAAAAAACCACCAAACATTTTGGAAGGGCTTATAAGCTTTTTTTAACATCTTATAAGCTATTTTTAACATGTTATAAGCTTAGTCAAACACACTCTTAATTTGGAGCAATTTCACTTTTTCTTTATGAGTATTTTTTTTGATAAGTTTAAAATAAATAATTATTTGTAAATTGTGATTACATCTCAATCATCGATGTTTTAATGATGTGAACTAGAAGCATAATTAGTGGTGTGAGTTGAAGTCAAAATAAGGCATTAAGTAGAGAAGACTAATTGTTGCACGAAAGATTTTTTCTACTTTGGTGGCAATGATGGAGTACAAGAAATTCATGCTTTAAATGGTAATTATATGCGACAGGTATTGATCGTAAGATAGTTGAGTCTTGCACGTTTTCTTATTTTTCTCGTTCAATTCATTGGGAAATTGTTAGACTTAGGGCTCGGCATGGGTCAGATTGGGTAATTATCGATCAATTACCTATCCTATCCGGCATGATTTGCCGAGTATTAAAAATTATTACCGGCCCAACCTTTATGGTTCGGATAATGGTTACCGACTTTGTTGGATAAATAATCGATCGGTTGTAGGTATTATCGACCATTTATTTATTTTAATTTTTTGTACAATAATAAGATGCTTTTAAAAGTTTTTCTCAGAAAATATTTAAAATTTTGGGAAAATACATATTGCACAAATTTAACTTTAAAATTAAGAGTCTTTTTTTATTATTAAACTTCTACAATAAGTAAATACATATTGAAGAGTATGAAATAAGAATTATAAAATAGAAATGGTACGTAGAGGTCTATAAAATTGTGTTTCGAGTTTTTGATTTTTGACTTTTTTTATATATTATTTCAACGTTAAGAAAATAAGAATTACAATTACATATTTATAATCAATTTTTATTATTAAGAAAGTCGGTTGGCCGATATTACCCGACCAACTGACTTTTGAGTAAACTGAAAACCACTGACCGACCCATTTATATTTGAGTCGGTTAAAATTACCTGGCCGGCAACAAAATTATCAACCGATAAAGGGAGATCGAAAGTGAATCGGTTAGCCGATAAAACCGACCTATGCCCAACCCTTTTTAGAAACATCTTAATAAAAATGTCTGAGGAAAGCCTTTTGACTAAATTTCTCGTTAATATGAAATTGCTCCGCTATGATGTTTTCATTTGATTGGAAGAATATCTTTCAAGTAAAAATGACTTCCATCTTGAAATAGGAATGTTAGTCCAAATGTTTACTCCGCTATGGTGTTTTCATTTGATTGGTAAAATATCTTTCAAATAAAAATGACTTGCATCTTGAAATAGGAATGTTAGTACAAATTTTAGGAAGGATAGATAGTATTTTTGCTACCTTTATTTAGGTCCGTTTTGCACTTTATCACCTTAGCAAAACAAATTGAGGTTATTTGATAGGCACTCCTAATATATAAAATATATAGGAGTAGGTCTACCCTTAAAATTCTTTTCTTGAAATACCTCTGAAGAGGTAAAAGTACTATTGTATCCTTATGTGCAATTTTCGGCCAACTGCATTTAGCATTTCCACCAACTGCATTTATCATTTTCAGACCTGCATTTATCCCTTGTCCTGATTTTTAATTTTTTATAATTTGAGTAAATTCAAATCCATTACAAGGGGAAGTAGGGGAGGGGAAACTCGAACCCTAGACATTTACTCTATTGGTAAAGGTTAGGTACCAACTCTTCAAATGAGGGTTGGTTCTGATTTTGAATTTTAATAAAATTCTTTTTTTTTGTTCATTTTTTGTTCCCTCTCTCTCTCTCTCTCTCTCTCTCTCTCTCTCTCTCTCTCTCTCTCTCTCTCTCTCTCTCTCTATCTATATATATATATATATATATATATACTGTTTTTTAATTATTATTGTATTTTTTTTATTATTAATTCAAATTTTCATAAATTTACTGTACTTAAATGGCTACACATGACTATAATATACTATAAATTCTATAGTCATGTATAGTTATATGAAGTCATGTACTATTTTTTTTTGCCCCAAAATTCACAATTTATATCTTGATATTATAAATCAAGATATGAAAAAAGACGGGTAGAAAACCTTTCAGATATGAAAAAGCCTGGTCCTATCACCCTGATTTTCGTAAAGTGGTGGAAAATGCCTGGAAAAACCCTTACAAATATGATACTCTTTCTTTTTATAGTTTTTGTCAAATATTTAAAATAAAAGCCATTAGATGGAAGAAAGAGGTTTATGGGCATATTGATAATAAAATAAACCAGCTTGATCAAGAAATTTGTTCCCTCACTAATATTATCGAGACTAATTATTCGATAGAAATACACCATAAACTTAATCAACTAAAAATTGAAAACCAAAGGTTACTAAAACAAAAAGAAATGTACTGGAGGCAAAGATCTAGAATACAATGGCTTAAGGATGGTGACAATAATACGAAATTCTTCCATGCCTTCTCAACTAATCGTAGAAGGCGCAATATGATACACAGTATCAAAATTTCCAATGGGAATTGGATATACGATCATAATAACATCCAAGAGGCTTTTCTCGAACATTTCAGAGCTCTCTTTCAATCAAATCAAACAACCCCAAATACTAATAATTACAATAATCACCCTATTATTCCTGATCACTTACAATATGATTTATATAAACCTATTATCCAAACGGAAATTTATGAAGCTTTAAAACGCATAGGGCAAGATAAGGCACCTGGTCCAGATGGTCTTAATGCACATTTCTTTCAAAAATATTGGACCATTGTTAAGGACTCGGTTTCTACTACTATCATGAAGTTCTTTGAGGAAGGAAAAATGCCAACCTTTTTAAATCATTCACACATTGTCCTCATACCTAAACACCCTAATCCTCATTTATTTAACCATATTAGACCCATAAGTCTTTGTAATGTTGCGTATAAAATTATTTCAAATATCCTTGTTAATAGGATTAAACCTAACCTTGAGTACCTTATTTCACCACTCCAAAATGCTTTTGTGGCTAATAGGCAAATTAGTGACAATATCATGCTGGCACATGAAATAATGCACACTATGAAAAATAAAGCTACTAAGAACGCTTGCATGGCTATTAAAATTGACCTGGAAAAATCCTATGACAAATTAGAATGGAATTTTATTAAAATGGCTCTCCAAAAACTTAACTTCCATACTCAAACGATTACATGGATTATGGCATGCATTGAAACAGTTTCCTTTTCTATATCTACAAACGGAATTTCTTCGGAGAAGTGGATACCCCAACGAGGGATTAGGCAAGGAGACCCAATATCTCCATATATCTTTATATTATGCCTTAACTTATTGGTTCTTAAATTCGTGGACGGAGCTAATAAAGGCCTATTTGACGCTATTGCGCCAACTAAAAAGGGCCCCAACATTCCTATTCTTTGTTTTGCAGATGATTGTATTATTTTTTCTAAGGTTAACGATAAATGTGTGAATTTTATCCAAGAAACACTCTCAAGCTTTGCTTCCGATTCCGGACTGAAAATTAATTGGGATGAGTCAAAAATTTTCTTTTAAAAAAAAACTCCTCCTAGGACTAAACAAGCGATTTGTAGGAAAATGGGCATTAAACCTGGAAATAATAATGATAGGTACCTTGGATTACCCATGATCATTACGCGGATTACTAAACAATCTTTTTTCGACATTGTTCTTAAAACCCAAAACAAAATCTCTACATGGTATAATAATTTTCTTTCTTACGCTGGGAGAAGTACTCTTGTAAACCATGTTCTAAACTCCCTTCCTATATCTACTATGACCTCCTTTAAAGTACCTGAAATTACTATAACAAAAATCAATAGTATTACTAAGAAGTTTCTATGGAATGCATCCCCGAATACACATAAAAAACGCCCTCTTAACTGGAAATACATATGCCAACCCAAGTCGACCGGAGGATTATATATGTTTTAAAAATTTGCATATACTAAACAAAGCGTTCACTCTCAAATTAGCATGGCGCATTCTCACAGACCAATCATCTTTATGGGTTCAATTTATGAAAGCTAAGTACCTTAGGAAACATATTTTTTTGGAAACACAACAAAATAAAGCGGGTCATAGTTATATGTGGAAAACTATATGTAAAAATATCCCTCTCATAAAAGAATGTTGTGTTTGGAGTGTGGGCAACGGCATGAATATAAACTTTTGGTATGATAAATGGATTGATAACATAAAAATTGCTGATTACGTGCCAAACATCCCGCCCGACAAAGAGAAAATAAAAATTGCCAACCTAATAAATCCCAATACTAGAAATTGGAATCTGGACCCTATAGAAAACCTTATCCCTGATTATATAATTTCGAAAATTTACGCTGTACACATCCCCATTTCGGAAAAAAAAGATGTCATGCATTGGGCTCTCTCAAAGAATGGTAAGTTTACACTTAAGAGTGCTTATGTGTGGCTTCTTTACTCTCACAC